TGTGGAGTGACAATATGAAATTAAAAGTAGAAATGCTTTAACGACAAGATGAGCTCAAATGCAATTTAAAAAGTTCACATACGCAACACCTGCATATATTTCAAGTGTTGTCCTATGCTATTTGGATTCCCATTCTGTTCTAAGGAGAATTCTACTTTTTGTCTTTCGCCTCAGATCAAAACGTCGTGTTCTGGCGAAAGGCGAAAACAGCCCTTCGGTTGCTTTGGCTGGAAATGTGACCCCAACCTGCAGAGGGAATGCCACATTTACAAGACGAGTCAGCGGCGTCAGAAAACTGGCCCGCCTTGCATCTACAAGCAAAGTTTTACCTTCCAGCCTTTCGGTAAAATATCAGAGAGAGAAAAAACAGAAACGGAACGTTTTTAATTGACAGTTTCTACGCGAGACTGTGGCTGTACGGGTGTCATTTTCAACTTCCCACACGCATTAATTAAAACGCTCTTTTCCCCCCCGGTTTAAACTGCACACTGCGCCTTTAAACGGGGGCGGGCGGGCGAGCGCGCTCAGCTTAGGCTGTCATAGCCCTGCCGATGAGCTCGCGGGGGCCCGCCCGCCCGCCTCGCGGAGCCTATCAGCGCGCGGCGCACGTGACGAGCGCTCTTTGCGATGACCTCATCCCTGGTGTGGGATGACGTCAAATTCAAGATGGATGGAATCACGACAGCCGCACGCTCGGCGGAATTCTGAGAGAAAGTCTGGTTTATGGACGGCGGGGGGGCTTGAAACGCGCCGAAAAGGTGAGCTGAAGTCGGAAACGACCCGGCTCCCGGGCCGCAGACGCGGTCGCCCCGTCAGTTTCGGTTTGAGAGGAGCGTCCTTTTCCTGACGTAACTCTGAGGTGATTTCTTTCTCTTTCTCCTCTCAGCGGCAGCTGCAGTCTCCGAGCTGGGAGCGGCGCCTGCGCGCTGGCGGCCCGGCTGGCAGGAGCCGCCGGCTCGTGCGCACGCACGCACGCACGCTCTCCGCCCGCCGCCCCCCGGCTCCCTGCGCCCGCACAGAGCGCGCGTTAGCTGGAGTTAAAATAATCTTAAAATAATGCGCGGTTGCATATAACGCGAAGTCTTAAGTAGTCTTAAAAAAAAACAGGGGAAAATGCACTTGAGTTTTCGCGACTGTACCCGCAAGTTTAACTGGGTGACTGCAGCAGAAGTCGCAGAGTTGATAGCAAGTTTTAACGTCGCTAACAGTTGGGGGGATCTGACGTAGTGTTTTCATTTATGTCTTTTTTTTAATTCCGTCTTACTGGTTATTACTAACTCTTAATGTTTGCAATGCATTCGCAGTGTATGAAACCTGCCACAGGTTAATGTTTCGAACAGTACCCGCTCGGGTGTTTGTATGTCCTTACTGTATGGACTTCAAAAGGGTATTAAGTATTTGAAAACGAAGTATTGCGTTTATTTACTCTTATTTCAGTTTCTGTATATTTATGCAAGGTACCGACTTTACAGCTTAGACGGTATTTCTCGTTTTTCCTTGCCTAAATGTTTGCACTTTTTTCCAAAGAGAACAAAAAGTCGGTACTTTCTGGTGAAACAACCGCTTCATTTATCGGGCATATGTGCTTAACAAAAATGGTAGTTCCGTTATCGTAAAACAAACTGACCTTTAGTCCAACTAATTTTGGTCACATACTCGACCACAAGAAAGTGCATACTGAAACTACACAGAACAATAGTTTTGCATACTGTTAAGACACTATAATGTTCATGCGCTCCTGTGCAAATGTCTTCAAATGAATTAAATGTTCATGAGTGAACGTGCTTACTGCGTTGCTTACCCTAGTATGCAGTCTAGTTCGGGCTCTTAGCATTACCCAGTGTTGGGGGGTTTGTTGCACATTTTACTCAGTCCACACTGTGTGTGTGTTCTGCAGCACATGAGCTCCTGTTCCTGCTGCGTGTGGATGTGTTCTTCATTGATATACTGTCATTTGTACTGCTCATATAAAAGTGCTTCTGTAATGTTCTTTATAGATACTTTATTGATCCCGTGAGGGAAATTGCAGTGCAACAGCAGCTTAACACAGACAACACAACCACAGTGTAACAAATAATACAATAATAATAATACAATCCATACAATACAATAAGTACAGTGAAAAGTGCACTAAAAAGAGTTACTCACAGTCCAGAACACACAAAGAACAAACCAGAACAGAACAGTACACAAAAAAGTCATATTGCACAATATGACTATATAAATGTATTGCACAGGTCCCTGGCATATATTGCACTTTATGTACTGATGTGCGAAAGAAACACAACACTGGGGTCTAATTGGCATAAGCAAATACTTTTAAATATTTATCAACCAAAATGCACATCAAAGAACATCTTGATACATACGTTTTTCAGTATGGCACATGGCACACTCACGAGGAAGGCAGT